CCCCAACCCCATAGGGGTGTCCCTTGTCCCCAAATTGTCCCCATCCCACAATGTCCCCAACCCCATAGGGGCGTCCCTTGTCCCTAAAGTGTCCCCATCCCCATCCCACAACGTCCCCAGCCCATGGTGGCCCCATCCATCACCTGCAGTGTCCTTGTCCCCACAGTGCCCCCACCCCCCCCTCACCCCTGACCCCTGTGACCCCCAGACTCCCTGACCCCTCACCCTGTGACCCCGTGACCTCCTGACCCCTACCACCTCACTCCATGACCTCATGACCTCTGCCCCCTGCCCCCAAATCTGTTACCGGTGACGCCTGACCCTCACCCTGACCCCTCACCCAGTGACCCCGTGACCCCTGACCCCATGGCTCCATGACCCCTGATCCTATCACCCCAACCACTCATTCTGTGCCCCTGACCCCATGACCTCATGACCCCACCTCCTGACCCATGACCCCTGACCTCTTAGTCCCTGACCCCATGACTTCTTCCCCCGACCTCTCATCCTGTGACCCCATGACCCCCTGACCCTGTGACCCATGACCTCGTGACCCCTCACCCCCCTGAACCCTCACCCCCTGACCCTATAATCCAGTGACCCCATGACCCTTGGCCCTGTGACCCCATGAGCCATGACCCCATGACCCCATGACCCCCTGTCCCCTCATCCTGTGACCCCACAACCCCTGACCCTGTAACCCCATGAGCCGTGACCCCTTGGCCCCCTACCCCCTCATCCTGTGACCCCATAACCCTTGGCCCTGTGACCCCATGAGCCATGACCACGTGGACCCCTTGTCCCCCCATCCTTATGACCCCATGACCCCATGGCCCTCTGCCCCCTCATCCTGTGACCCCATGACCCTTGGCCTTGTGACCCCATGAGCCATGACCTCATGACCCCCTGTCTCCTCATCCTGTGACCCCATGACCCCATGGCCCCCTGCACCCTCATCCTGTGACCCCATGACCCATGGCCCCTTGACCCCTCATGCTGTGACCCCATGACCCCTGGCCCTGTGACCCCATGAGCCATGACCCCATGACCCCATGA